GAGGAGGAGGAGGAGCAGGGGGAGGAGGAGGTGGGATATGAGGAGAAGGAGGAGGGAGGGTAGGAGCGGAAATGGGAGGTAGAATAGCCCAAGAGGAGGAGCCTGCAATCTGCAAACGGCTAACCACCTTCTCCCGCCATCCCCAGGTACAGACAGAGTTTGGCTTCATCAACAACCAGACCAAGGACCCAAACATCATCGGAGAGACAGAGCCTTACCAATACAGCAGCAGACTCAGGACAGAGCCCACCCTGCGGTTCTACAGGTAGCTCAGACCAGCGATGTTATAAATCATTATCTGCTGAGTACCTAGTTTTGATAAATTTGACGTAAAAGATTTTGAGTTTCTCAAGTTGTTAGCTTTTTCAAATGCAATTCTTTGAATATTTGGACGACTCCGAATACTCTTACGTTTTTTTTTATAGAGCAGACATATTTGTGTTTCTGGCCTCATTTATCTCCCCCCCCCAAAAAAAAAAATTTTTTTTAAATGAAAAAAATGAAAAGTGCGATAAAATTTGCTCAACGACCAGAAAAACGAAGATTTCCTTGATTACATTATTTTCACTTTCTCCTGATTTCACCACACAACTGCCTCACTGACAGCATACCATATCACCACCCCCCCCCCCCCACCCCCCTCTTTTTCAGACATGTAACCCCAAACATCCAGACTACCTGAAGACCGGCGCTCTCTGCGTGTCTGAAGGCATCAACGATACCTTGACCTTGTTCCGCTGGCGGGTGTCCGCCCCCACGGGTCAGGACGGGGTCACCAGCGACCTCCAGAACGTGGAGTCCAACACATTCTTCGCCACCACTAAAGGCATCACACTGGACAGCATCTACTTCTCCGGAGGTGGGTGACCCTTTTTGACCTTTTGACCCGGATCTAATAATTCTTGAAAACTATAGCCTCTGATCCTGCGTGCATTTCCTTTTGAGAAATAAGCGTTTGGCGCTGGGTTTATGCTATCTTTTAAGAAATAACCTTTGCATGTCATATATCTACTTTTGAGAAATTGCTTTTGACCTTGTATCAAATACTTCAGAGAAATTTTTATTCGTTGATGTTGTATTTCTTACTTTTGATAAATAACCTTTGAAACTGCATGCATCTTTGACGATGCATTATTTTGAGAAATAATCTTTATTTTTATTTCTTGTTTTTTATATATTTGTTTTTTAAAATAATAA